GGAACTGGTTTGGGTAGCTACCACACAACTCCAAAAGTTAATTTTAAATATTTGAAAAAATAATTAAGCTCGTCTAGAAGTTTTACTAGAATAAGTTAACAGATTGTCTTAAAATTTTATTTAACTCACTGTATATTTAGTTCATAATTTTCAGGTACGATCTTAAAATATCTGTCAAATAGGTTTTGATATTTAATATCCTACCATGTGTTTTTACGTTACAGTCTACTACATGCTATGAGTTGATTTTCAATTTTTGTGATAGTAGTCTGACAAATTTATATGTAAACAGTTTGATAATTGGATGATTATCTGGAAAATTGGCTATATGAAATCTTGAGAAAATATTTTAAGGTAAAAACTGTAAAAACGGGGTACAGGAGCACAAGTATATTTATATATAAACGCATAAGGCAAATGAATATAATAATGAAAGAAAAAATTAAGAGAACGCGATTTTATTGTTTTTGCTCGAAAAAAAAAATATTTCTGATTTGAAATTTTTTTAAACTTTCTGCACTTTGCAGTGGGAAATTTTTCTGTGCTTAGTTTATATCGTGTATTTAGGTTTTAAAAATAATTGTCATTCGTTTTAAAGTTTTTGATACCAATTACTAGATTTGGCGCCAACAATATTAAATATAATTAAAATGTGGTACGTTTTTTTTGTCGTGTTACTTTTCCTGTATATTGACTTATTGTAAATTTAATGAACATCTTTTGGTTTGTTGTATATAATATCGAATGATTATTGTGAGGTCAAAATAATAGTCTCTTTGGTGGTACTTAAGGTTTAACTAATTGTCGCCCGTCAATTTTATTCTCATGCTGTGACATTCAATTTTATAGACAAAGTTTTAATTTATATTTTTATTATTTTGATTAGATAAAAATGCAGATAAAAAAAATTAAAAGATTTTATCTATAAATATCGATAAAAATTTTTGCACTATTGTAATGTAGAGAATATTTTCATTTCGTGGTAGGTAGGTACATAAATGCAAAAATTTTTTCTTTATAGGGTATAGATTTATATACACATACAATGCGGTATTTGAGATACTTCAGCAACAGTGAGATGTCATGAATCTTTACTTCTGTAGAATTCACATATTTTGACCAATCAAATACGATGTAGCCTTGCAAGATCCAAAACTTTTGCATATTACGCTACACGAGTAGCAATATCAATACTTAAGGTATTTAGGCCTCGATTTTATTTTCTAATTACGCTATGGTTTCTTGTGAACGTCTAATAGTATTTTTATCCATAATTTCAACAATTAAAAAAATGCTAATTACGATAATTTGGTTTAGTTTTACAATAAGCTTGGGCTTGAAACAAAACAACTACTTTAAATTTGAATAACCGTTAGTTTTAAAGATGCTGATAAAATTAAATTTGAACAATTTCTTTTAATACACAAATTTTTAAATTTCAAAAATTTCTTTTATTGAAAGCGAAAAAAAATAACTATATTGTTCTAGCTAATTGATTGGCTTTTTCATTTTTCTTCTAAAATTTTTCATAGTTCTGTAATAGGAGGCATAATTTTATTTTTCGTAGTTGTTCATGTTACTCTTAAAGGGTAAATTTATACTCTTTTAAATTTACCCTAAAGGGGAAATTTTTACATATTTAATATTTTCTTTTAATAATTTTATTAATGTGCAAGGTCTGCCGAAGAGTGTTAATTTAAAATTCAATTTTGCATCCAATTTTCAGGAAAATTATAAAGTCGAACTATAAAGTATAAGAAAGCTTTCTTAAAAAAGATAACTAAAGATTTTGATGTATATACATAATGTTGAAAATAATATATGATTTGTTGATTCATATTTAGTCTTAACATATAACAATACAAGAATTTCTTATAATACTGTTATATACATATTCTTGAATTTAACATTTTTTATACCACATAAAAAATGTTAAATTCAAATGTCTTCTTCTATAATATTAAAAACAATTTCTGGTTCGATTCGGAATTCTTGTAAAATTATTATTGTCATTGGAAAGTCTCAACCCTTATTTTTATTAAATCAATCTAATTTTTCCAAATAAAGTGCTTGCACCATGCAGGGTTTGATGAGATTTAAAAAAGTATTTCCAATATTTGATTTTCCATTTTTATCTATAATTGTGTATCTATTATTGTTGTACTGATTGTTTGCATGCCTAACACTTTAAAAACGATCTTCAATTACATACATGTTATTGGTTTGCTAATATGTACAAGTATATGTATAATAAGAAGATATTAAAAAAATTGAAAACTTTGATTTATTTTACTTTTGTTTTGACCTTTTTACTGCATAAATTATCAAATCAATTTTCTAGTAATAAAGATTTTTGTTTTTTCTTTTCCATGTTATAAAATTTCATTCATTCCTATTGCTGCCCGGTCCTTGTAATAATATGGATCACCTTAAAGCGAAGAAACTCCCAGGAGTATTTAATAAAATCGTTGTTAATTGAATTCAGTACGATTTAGCTTTTATTAGTTTTCTGTCTTGGATTTTGTTAACCAAGGAAAAGGAAAAGAATAATATCAAAATATAAGACATTTTTTTTTAAACATTGAAACTTATAAATTTTAAGCGAAAAATCACAAGGGAGTCTTAAATCAAACTGGTGCGAAAAGCAAAACCAAAAATTCAAAAGCAAAAAACGCCAGGAAAAATACTAAAATAAAAGAGAAGCGAAATTCAAGTCAATTTGATGTCAAATAATAAAAATTGCATCATCCTAAGTTTTGCATTCAGTTTGATTTTAAAAGAACTGTTTAAGATCCTATTTCACATGTGTATGTTTAATATAACACACATTAAATGTTCTTTTTGTGTCGGAAAATTGGAGTTGTCGCATTAAACTGACATTTTTTAAATCTAAATTTTTTCTTACATTACATGTAACGAAAATTTAAGAAAGAAAAATCTAAAATTGGAATAAAAGAAGCTAGTAAGACAAAATTTTTCGTGTGTAATAAGGCTTACGTATCAATAAGTTAAATTAAGGATCATCGCAACTTGGAAAACATATAATACTTTGACATAAAATATTATTGTCTAATTTTCTATTAAGACTATAAAACAATATTTGCGATGAACATATGAAAAGAATTTCAGCTTTTGCTCTTATTTGAATTTTGACTAAAAAGTGTGATCCAAAGGAAATTATAGGACTAAAAAATTTATATTATTCATTTATTCTCAGTAAAAAACTGAGAATTCCAAAATAACTTTATAATTTACAATTTTTTCTTTATATTGCAATAAAATAATTTTTAATTATTTTATTTTGACTTTTTTTACTTCAAAACGAAAAAAACAACTAAATTGGTAACCTTACTTAATATAGACAGACAGTGTTATAAAAATGTGTATATACATAGCATTAGCAACTAGTAATAATCTTAAAAAAAAAATATCCGTAAAATTTACTACAACAGGAAAAGCAATTCGTAATTTCGTATTCGGATTTGCTGTTATGTGATTGCTCTTTTGCTGTTATTGCTTTGCTACTATTGCTGTTTTATTTATTTCTGTTTTATTTTCCGTCTTTAAAAATTCAAAATAAAAACGAATGTAGCGGCATCTGTTGTATTATAGGTGTGTTTATATAATTTTATTTGTCATTTTGGCAGGTAATTTGTTAGGAACGATAAAATCAGAATTAAAATTATTTTTCGCAAAAGATAAAATGAAAAAAACAAAAAATAATAAGAATAAAAACAAAAACACACTGTTGTAGTTGCATTGTTGCTTTCCTTCAATTGAGATTTATTTAATATTTTACTTTTGTTTATTGTTTATGAATATGTGTGCACGTAAGTAATTTGAAATATTAGATAAATTTAAAATCGATTGTTTTACATAGGAAAAATAAAATAATTATTATGGAAATGCTACATAATAGGTATGCAAGAATGAGGAATTAGAATGTGCTTTCAAAATTGTATTGTATAATTGGTATATTTAAGTTTAGATCCGCTTTCGTATATAATAGGAATCATTTTATTAAAATGTCAGCTTTCAACTAAGTTTCCAATATTTTAAAAGAAGTTTAATTGTAATCGTGTATTTTAATTGTACTTAAGTATATAATTCTATTAACAGCTCTTATTTGCAATGCGAGAATAAAAAATTTTTAATTTAATATGTCAAAATACACATACATACATTCCTATACACCTTATATCATAATTTATTTTAAAATTTTGGAATTATCCAATTTATAATATCTTCTTATTTTGTTATTTGTAATAAATATTACATATGTAATATGTAATACAGTTTGAACATATATTATGTAGGAGAGTATGTTAATGTCATTGGAAAGTTAACAGTATTCGTTATTTCTACAGAAAATTCTGTAGAGCATCAAATTTTGCTAATATGATTTTGTAAAATTTCATTGAATTATTTAGGTTATATTCAGTTTATATTTTAAATAAATAATCAAACAACGTACACAATCTGTACACATTTTTTGAAACGAATATTTTTTTTTATTAAAATATTATTGATTCTAATAAAATTTTTGTTCACGTATAAAAAAGTTTACCTATTATTCATAAAAATATTCTGTTCACAACATTGTAAAGTTTGAATTATGAATAAAAAATGAGCGCAGAGCATTCAATATAAAAAAATCTGTGATAGCAATTAAAAAATAATTTGTTATTAATTTTTCTCTTAGCCTCATGAGAATTTAAATCATTATTTTTTGAGTTACGAGAAGATTCATGTTTGAGTTTATCGGTGGCCTTTAGATCTGATGTATGTGTGTATGTATGTACTTCCAGTTTTTAAAAGTAAAAGTTAAGTAAAAAGTTTCTTATTCGCTTGTTTGATTTTTGATTTTGTTGATATTTTGTTTTTGACAAAATGCCTTTTGTTGATTAAATTGTGTTTGGAAAAATTTTTAAAAACTTTGTGATACCTTTTTTAAATAAAATTCATTAAATTTAAAAAACCTTTTTATTTTATGTTTGTAGATGAATCAGATGTGTAAGGTTTGCGGGGAACCAGCCGCAGGTTTTCACTTCGGAGCTTTTACCTGTGAAGGATGTAAAGTAAGTTTAATTTTATAATAATTTTGTGCAAAATTATAACTTTTCTATTGACGCGACGAAGTAAACGAAGTAATTAAATTTCAATATGCCACAAAAAACCTTAATTTGATTAATTGAAATTTATAAGAGCATGACACACTTTGTAATATTCTAAAGCAAGTTAGAATCACTATATTTAAAATGTTTTAACAATTCAAATTTAGTTCACAAGTGGATTAATTTGACCACTAAAATTATTGCGTAACAATTTTTTTTAAGATAACATAGTCTTTTAAACATTACGAACTTCATTTGCGATAAAGTATGGAAATGGAATTGGTTTTATTCTAAACTATAATTATTTAACAAACTAGCTGTTTTTTCTAAAAATATTTAAAATGGTTTTTATTTGATATACTTTGACACTATATGGTCAAGCATGACGTACATGCCTATTTTTTGAAAAATAGCTTTATAAATTTTTTTACTTTAGAAATATAACTGACCAAAATTGGACACGACTGCCAAGTTTCACGAATCTAACTTTAATATTTTTCCAAATATTTAAAATTAGCTGTTGGGGTTATATGGAAGCTACTGAACCTGTCAAGCAATTCCAGTAAACCTGCAGAAATATATCGGACCTATAATTGGACACACGACTTCCAAGTTTCATGAAAATCTGGCTTTTGTTATTTTCAGAATATCAAAAATTTGCTTTTAGAGTTGTGCGGCAGCCACCCGAACCGGTGCAGCCATCCTAAAAAAACTTTTAGAGTATGTGTAGAATATAATTGGACAAATGTATACAAAATTTTATATATATACCTTTATTAGTTTTTAAAATATTTAAAATAAACTCTTTGATTCAGTTCTGTAAAAAAAGTTTTAAAGTTTCAAAAAATTTCGAACGAAATTACCTGGTTAGAAAACACTTAAAAAATTAAAAAAGAGAAAATTTTGATTTTTCCTAAAGTTCAAATGATTGGTATTCCGAAAGTGCACAAAATACATAATCAAGTAAGGCGCTTTTTTTAAGCCCTTTAATGGACCTTTCAGAAACTGTTTGTTTGAAGCCCCTATCTTTTTTGGAACGGAAGTTATAATCAAAAAAGCTTAGATAACTAGATTTTCGTGAAAATTCGTTAAAATCCCTGTATCTCGAAAACCCTTGAGATTTCGTACCTACTCCGGAACAAAAGTTTTACCCTTTTTCGACCCTCTAACCAATGGTATGTGTTGTTGTATACCTTTCTGAATCACCCTGTATATATGTCCATACCACAGACGACTACTTCAAGTAGATGCAAACCAAAGTGAATATATCCTTCACAAAGGTGCAGGGTATAAAAAGTTCAAAAGAAAATAAACCTACACACATTCATAACAATAACAAAATCAAATACAGAAGCTTATTGTTAACATAGATTGTATAGTTTGGCAAAGGGATTCCTATCGAAATTATCGAAATTTAATTTGTGAAAAACTACATCCAAATTAGAATTTTTTATCGTTCTTCTAAAAAGCTAGTGCTAAAAAATTTTCTCTTTATGGTCATGAGTGTTTTTTAGAAAAAAGCATTATTTTTTATTTAAAAAGTAACTTGCTTTAATTACTTTTGTGTTACATCGTCTTTGTCATAAATTCTCGATTATTCGCCTAAAAAAATTAATGTATACATATAATAATGAAATATTGACCCTACAGGAATTTTTCATATTTATAAGAGAAAAGTAAAAAAATAGCAGAACAATTTATTGATTTAATTTGAAATTATCCTGTTGTTTGATCTTCTGAATTCATTTTTATGATTAATTATATGACATTTAAAATTTGGGAATAAAGCCATTCACCTGAACTGATTTTCCAAATATATTTTAATTTTAAGGCAGGTACACAAACTGCAATTCAAGAAAATATTTCAATTTAGGATATATGTTCCACATTTTTAAATTTTTCATGATATGAGATTGAAATAAAGTTCAAAACGAAACATTTCAAACCCATATTCAAAAGAAGACCAAGACGGAGAAGGAATTTAATACCAAACCATTAATAAACAAAATTTTATTTATAAAATACAAGAATGTACACAAAAAGTGTTATCAGATAAACCTAATGAGCAGAACTGATGGTTTTGGATTTCATTACAATATAATATGCAAAATGAAAAATGTTTATAAACAGGTGCTTTTGACACATTGAAGCTTAACCATATAATTAGGTGTATATGGACAAATATATTTTGATTGCAGATTTCGTTACATATCGTGAATTATAAATTCCAAAAGAATTGTAAAAATAATGAATTTTGATTAAAGATAATAACCATTTTTTTCTGCATTTCTTTTTCGAGTTCAAATCCTGAATTCAATGTTTGGAAAATTCATAATAAAATTAAGAAGCAAAAATTATTACACTTAAATGATCTCGGATTGAAGTCTGAATTTTAAAAGCTAAAAACAAGAAGTGTTCATTTAACACTGAATGTGTCACAATTTATTTAATCAAAAAAATGTCAGGTAAAAGTGTTAAACAAGTTTTTTAAGGTTAATAAGAGAAATTGATTGGTAAATGTCAACATTTCAAAACTTTTAACTTAATGAAGATTCAAGATTTTAAAATTACAAAAAATGAGAATTTCAATACTATTTTTAAGTTTTTAAGATACTTTAGCCAATAATAAATAATATTTATAATCTACACCTTAGTGAAGGGTATATTAATTTTTGGTACGATTTCTGTAATTAGTTGACGCAGTTGTTTGCAGTATGAACATGTATATACATACATATACAAAATGATTCAGAAAGGTATACAACATATTCCATTGGTTAGAGGATTGAAAATGGATAAAACTTTTGTTCCGAACTGGGCGCCAAATCTCAAGGATTTCCCAGTTCCAGTGATTTTAACGAATTTTCACGAAATTTTTACATTTTTTTTAAGTTTTTTTGATTATAACTTCCGTTCTGAAAAAGATGGAACTTCAGACAAATAGTTGCTGAAATGCCTATAGTAAGGGTTTAAAATATACATACTGATTGATTCTGTATTTTATGTACCTTCGGAATACCAAGTATTCGAACTTTAGAGAAAATAAAATTTTTTTCCTTGTTTATTTTTTCAGTTTTTTCTAGCTGGCTAATTTCGTAAGATATTTTTCGAAACCTTGAAATATAATAATAGAATTTTTCCCAACTGCTTAAACTTTAAATTAAGTCCTTAAACATTAAAAAATTGTTTATGGTACACAAGATATAGTACAAAAACCGCAAATATTGTGGTCAACAAATTCAATTAAAATCACACCAGATGTTAATAAAACTAAAATTAAATTCAATTTAATATTGCTTTATCAAAAAATTAGGAAAAATAAGAATTCCTTACCCAAAAAATGTACAAATTTCTCAAGACAAATACCAAATTCTCCTAGGAAAGTCACCTAATTCGGGAAAAATATATGTTTTTCTTCTTTCAAATCTATTTCTATTCAATCGCATATTTCAAATTAAGTGCTTTACTGGAACACTTCTTTAGTTATCCCAATTTATTAATCCCATTTATTAGATTCATAATATTATTACCATATAATTTCTAAACTCCATTTTGTTAAAAAAAATTAAATTTTTCTATTAAAAATTTTTTTTCCCAATTAAAATAAATGTCAAAATTTATATGGCATGCTTTTAAAAATTCGCTCCAGCTGGATAATTTTAATAACTTCAGATACCAAATGTTGTCAAGACTTCGAAAATATTTTTTTCAAATTTTTAAAATGCACACAATATGAGAAAAATGCATTTAAAAATTTCAAACCATATAGGTACCATTTCTTATAAAAATTGGCAAAAATAAAAAACCAATCAATTTTCTTTACCAAGAAAAGTTTCGAAAAAATTTTTTGATTACTAGATTTTTTTTGTTTTTCCTAATACAAAATTCTAGTTTTTCTTTTCAAAAATTTAAAATTTTTTAAAATCAATTTTTGTTTTTCAAATTAAAAGTTTTATAAAATTTCGTTTCAATTTTGTTATTAATGTCAACTGTTCTTTCTAGTGGCTCTTATCATCGAACATTAATGATAGTTAGTAATTACAACGCTTAAAATTAAAAAAAAATTTCTGTGCCATAAAAAATTTTTTAATGTTTGAGGACTAACATTAAAGCTTAAGCAGCTGGAAAAAATTCTATAATAAAAAATTTCAAGGGTTCAAAAAATTTCTTACTGAATTATCTGGTTAGAAAAACTCAAAAAATTAAACAAGTGAAATGTTTGTTTTGATTTTCTCTAAAGTTTAAATGTTTGGTATTCCGAAGACACATAAAATACAAAATCAAGCAGCAATGTTTATTTTAAGCCATGCTTAAGCAATTCGGAAACTATTTATTTGAAGTTCCTAACTTTTTCAGAACGGAATAAAGTTAAAAAAACCTTGTATAAGAAGAAATTTCGTGAGAATTCGTTAAAATCCCTCGAACTCGGAAACCCTTGAGATTTGGCACCCTGTTCGGAACAAAGGGTTTACCAATTTTCAATCCTCTAAATAATGGTATATGTTGTTGTCTACCTTTCTGAATCACCTTGCGTATATGCTTGCTATAAAATGTTGCGTTGACTTTAATATGTCCGTTTGCTCGCACGATAACTCAACAAAAATTAAAGCAAACACCATCAAACTTTCATAAACTGTTTCTTTTCTGGACCGAGTTGTGTAGGATTAAAATAGGTTATTTTAACCAATATTTAAAAAACCTAATAAGGATATTAAATATCTGAAAGTTTTAATGGAACGACTGAACTTATTCGGGTATCATCCAAATAACATTAAAAGCTAATTTAAATATTTGAAAAATTTTTGAAAAAATAGAAATTTTTGGTGAAATGTCTTTTTAGTTAAGAACTGATCGAGGCAATACCATGAATGAAACGTTTTGGCTCGTTGTGATTTTATTTTATTATTTTTGATAAGAAACTTTAGTTCAATATTTACAATTTTATTTATTTTCTTTTACTCTAAAATGCTCTTTCGGTGATAACAGACTAATTGGCTAATGAAATTACCATACACAGTATATATACGTACAAAGGTTTTGAAATTCTGGGAATGAAATTTCTATTAAGTTGGTCAAAATACTTTATGAGTTATGCCAATGCTACCATAGTTTTTTATTTAAATAAATTGTTATTGCGTGTAATAAAATTGATAATCTAGATTTTTATTGGAAAAACTCATATTATTTAATTAATTTTAGTAATTACAAGTTCTTTTAAATAAAAATATATTGTAAGCAGTTTAAATTATCAATATAAAAAATTTTATAAAAAAGCCTTAGACACTTTTTTTTAGGACGTGGGAAATAAAGTGAATCAATTTAAAATCTCATTAACAATAAGCTTAACCAACATAAATATCCAATTCGTTGTTCATATGTGCTTATTAATAAAGCATAAACAAAACTATACACGGAAAATAGAGCTGAAAATTAAAAAAAAACAACCATTTTCACCTTTTCAGGTCTAATAAACAAAAATATCAAAAAAAAATTTCAATCAATTATAATCAAATATTTTCTTACTATTATTACACATTTGAATAAACGCATATACAAGTGTAAATTACAGTTTGTAAAATACATATGTGTAAGAAATCAAGATAATCAGATCAATAAAAAGTTATAATGATTATAATTTTTTATATAATGGTCTTCAACTTAGCTATGACGTCCGGTATTTAAAAAAAACAAACCTAAGTATAAAAAGAAATAAAATTACATAAGCCCTCATGTTAGAAAACATCCCAATTCCCAACACAAAACAAAAAAAAAACAAACTTAATTGAAAAGTTTTGAAAATGTATCACTTTCTCATCATACTCATGTATTAAAATCATGTGAATTTCAATTTTTTCCCTCTTCATATTTATATAGCAATATAAAGGTCATATATTTTTGAAAATGTATTGAAAACCTTATTAAGTTTACATAGTGTCAAAAAAAAATGGGATCTGATTACCTTCAGTTCCTAAATAAAGAGAGTGAAAGGCTTTTATACGCATGAAACAAAAACAAAGGCTCATAGAAATTAATTGAACAACTACGCGCCTAAAAACCAATTTAAAGTAGCTTAAAATATAACATTGATAAAATATCTAGATAAAATTAAAATACAAAATTATTGATTTCAATCAATCCGAAATCTTCCAAAACTCATTTTGATTGAAATATTAATGTTAAAAAAAAGCATTTTTGTGCTTTTTTCCACTTCATTTCGCCCCTTTGAAATGTTAATGTTAAAGGAAATGGTTAATACACTTACGATTTTCAATAAAGCTTATCAAAATAATTAATTTGATCTACATAATGTTGACGATGCTATGAGAAAACTAAAAGTATGCTTAGTTTGGAAATTATCAAACATAAACTTATTTTTTGTATGCATGAAAGATATACAGGGTTTTTTACATATTACGGTTACTGAGAGTTGTAATGAATTCAAAGATATAGATATATTCAAATTCCATTATGTACCGTTTCTTCTTCTCGTAAAAGGGTTTCTCATGGTTAACTTTATATAATTTTTGAATATCAACTTATGTATAAAGACGCTCACACTGCTTTTTGAATTTTTGGAACAAGTGGTGACAACCTGTAAAAGGCTGACTGTCGATTGACCTAAACCATATTTTTTTAATTGTTTTAAAAAGAAAAGCAAAACATTTCAAATTTATAAAAATTTTTGAAATATTTTGCTATGGCAAACACTTAAAACAACAAATGGAGTAAATTGATTGATTACTTCAATATCACAATGTTTGTGTGTGTTGAAATTTATTGTACACATTTTTTTTATAACGTATAAAATACAAATAAAATTGATTCGGTCTATACACTAGACTTTTACATTATTTCTTCAGCCTTAACATTGCATATATACGTGGTTATAATTCTTATAAGTTTTTATATTTGTCGTAATAAAGGTGGTATTGTGGGTTATGCAGAGGGCTATAGTAATTCTCAGATACCTGCGGCAAATAAAGGTGCAGCTGCTTCCTAGCTCATGCCTTTTTTTACAAAAATCTCCAACCTGCAACATGTGATCGATTGTTATTGTTTGAAAAAAATATGTAAAGTTTTTGAAGACCCTGTAATGTTTTTTCAAATATTCAAATAAGACGGTCAAAATATTTGCAACAGTGTCATTTTTATATAATAACTGAATGCACAACTGGTGCATATAACTGGATGTTATATCGTAGCTGGTAAATTATGAATTAAAATAAAACACAAATTTGAACTGATTTTAACGTGATTTTTCTTTTTTCTTAAGAAAACCAAATGTAGACATTTTAACATATCGATTAATTTAAATTGGCCCAAATATAATCCCTAAAAATCATAGCGTATTATGATTTGTTTTGATCAATTAAATTCAATCCAAATATTTAAAACTAAATTCCTCAATATTGGCGGATACCCGATAAAAATCCAAAACAAAAAAAGTAAAAGCACAAAATTAATATAGAAAAATTTTTTTGGTATTCGAACCAAGATAATTGTACACATGTAGGTATCAATAAAGTAGTTATTACACTTTTACAAATCAACTTAATGAAAAAAAAACTTATTGGAAAAAAAAGGAAATGACTGAGGAACGCGACCTTTATAACTTGTTAGAAAAAATTTTCCATCATGTTTGTATGTATGTTTGTTTCTTTGTTGTAGAAATAGCGTGAGAACTGTGGAAAAAATGTGTTTTTTAAATTATTAAACAGGAAGGTTAAACAATTTTTTTTAGATACTAGTTGTGATTATATAATTGGAAAAGATTAGCTGAAAAAGAGAAAAAAATTATAATAATAATTTTAATAAATTGAAAATCATAAAGCATAGGTGCCAGATAGAAAAAAATTATATGTAAACTCTAGACAATTTTTTTCTAATGCCACACTTTTTGAAATTGCAATTATGATAGATTATTAATAGGAAATTCAAGAAACAAATTTGTGAAATGTTACGCATTATTTTATTGTATTTTCTGTCTGTTTTTAACAAAGCACTTCAGACAAAACAAAAAACAGTAATTTTCAGTCGGCCTTGAAAACGATAAAAATTTTGTATATTGTTAAGCTATACATACATATATAACACTGTTGTGAAACAAAATTAAACCATTACCGAAGAAATACCAATTCTAAAATAAAAAGATTTTCTTGGTGAGTTTTTAGAAACTCTGAAATATAATAGAACGTCATTTAATTAAAACAAATAAATAAGTAATTAGTTTTTGTTTTTGTCAGAGCTAAAATTCCCACCTATTTCTAATTTCCACTTCTTTTTATTGAAATAGTTTTCTCAAAATATGGGACTTCGAAAAGTTCATTACATTTTTCGAAATTTGGGTTTGCCAAACTAATTTTAAATTTTTTAAACATAATACTGAACAAAAGTTGTAAATTTTCAGGGAGCTTTTCAATAATATGACAGAAAATTATATCAAATTTTTGTAAATGTTAAATTTTAAAACTCCTTTTCATGACAATTTTTTCGATCTGAAATCTCGTAAGAACCATTTTGAAAAACAGGTGTCTCAAAATTTGTAGAGTTATTCGCACTCATATTCAAAATGTTAAAGGGTCTTTCAGAATATGTTTTTGGAAAGTCGGGGACGATTTCAAAACAAATATGTGAAAGTGTACAGTTTGATCTATATAGGCTCAAAAGCTGTGGAGCGAACTGGTATTCTTATGCTACTAATAACTTGAACATAAAAAATATGTTTGACCAATATTTTTTTATTGTATCCAGCACAAGCTAAAAGCATAATGGTTTCAATACGGTTTTTGAATACAAATGTTTTTGGATTTGTTTCTTAAATTTGCATTTACTTCAAGGAAGAGTTTTCATTTTTCATTAAAAGTTTGAGAAGAAATTTAAATGAAAATTCTTCAATCATTTTCTTATTGCTTTCAAATTAAAACTCCTTTTTCTAAAGACTAATTTAAATTTTTTTATACTGCACAAAAATTTTTTCCAAAATTAAATACATGTATATATATATTTTTTACTTACAGTCCTTTTTTGGCCGCACATATAACAACATATCTGCGATATCGGGTTGTAAGAATAATGGTGATTGCATTATTAATAAAAAAAATAGAACAGCGTGTAAAGCATGTCGATTAAGGAAATGTTTATTGGTTGGAATGTCTAAAAGCGGTTCAAGATATGGTCGTCGATCAAATTGGTTTAAAATTCATTGTCTTCTTCAAGAACAACAATCACATCATCAACAGCAACAACAGCATCAACAAAATTTCGTTAATAATAATAATAATAATAATGATTCAACAAATAATAATAGTACAAAAAATGATAATAAATCATCCTCACCTCAACAAATTACATCATCAAATTTAGAACAATTTAGTTTAGCACATCAGCATCTGCTTGCAAAACAAACATATCAAGATAAAACAAATCCATCAATTAAATCAGTGGCATTACAAAATTCAAGTATTTTAATGAATTCATTTTTACCGTCAAATCATCAACATCATTCTCAATATCATATATTAAATGGAAATAATAATAAATTGAATAACAGCAATAATAATAATAATAACAATACTAATACACCACGATATCCTCAATCAAAATCTGAGCCAGTAAATAGAAGTCGATCACCTAGTGATTCAGGTGCATCATCTGCCGATCCAGATGAAAATTATAGTAACAGTAATAAAGATTTACAAATAATTCATTCAAATGATACAATTGATGATAATAATGGAGATGTTACGCCGAATATTGTAAGTGGCGAAGATGACGGTGTTGGTAATATTAATTGTCATAGTGCTGATATTGTTATTAGAAATTGTATTGGTAATGAAATTGAAGACTTTCCCCGTGATAGTGACGATCATAGTAGTAAGAAAAAGAATTCTCTATTAAATTCATTTAACATAAATACACTTGTACGAAGCTCATCAGAACCATTAAAAAATTTTTCGTTATTTTCAAAAAATTACAATACAATCACAAATTCAAATTCATTTATTGGAAATGTACTAAATCCGTTTACAAATTTCTTTGCTCCAATTAACACCGATACCGATAATATTAAAAGTATATGTTCTGGTAGTGATGGACAAGATGAACCAATTGATTTATCGGTTAAGAGCCCAAATTGTAAATCAGCATCACCAATATTAAGAACTATAGAAATTGGAAATAAACCAGCACCATTAGATCTCACATTGGTTCGATCTCAATCAACATCCGGCTAGTAAGATTTTAAATTGATATAGGAAGAATCGTACAGAAAATAACAAAAATTGAAGAAGTTCAAAGACATTAGTTATTGATAAACAATTAAAAGGAATTGAATTCCAGTATATTCATTTGTCAGTATTTCAGAGTCATCATTAATAATATTAATTATTAATAATTAAACTAATTATAATTACATTTAATAATTAATATAAAATTATAAATAATTTAAAGAAAAGAAAAATATATTTATATTATCGTACATATGTATATGAATGTGATTTTGTGCCATTTTCTTGGTGCTAAGAAAATCTAAGACAAACAAATTTTTTTTTTTTTGATTTGAAACTAATATTGCAGGCCAGTTATAAATTTGTATGTTACTTGATTATGTGCATGTCACGTACGTATGCATTATGAATTTGCCAGCATAGTTTGTATAAAACAGCATTATTTCAGCTCGTTTTTTGAGCGGGACATAAGCCAGTTTGAGCCAGTGTTATTAAAAAATTTTCAAAATTTAGTTTTAATTATGATAAATTTTAGTCCGAAAATAATTTTTCTTGTATTTTAAGAGTTAGTAGTAAAATTTAGTATAAATTTTTTAAATGAATTTATGATTTTTTTACGTTTTTACTTTTGATTCTTTTATATTTTATTTTTGATTTTTGAATATCAAGTTATTTATGTAGAATTAATTTATTATTTAATATTGTGAATTTTTGTATTCAATTATTTCAGTTTATTTATGTAATTTGTAAATATTGAATTTTTGTTGTTGTTTTATTTTATAAATTTAATTAATTTTTTTTTATTTTTTTAATTATTTTAATTGATTTTTTTATTTTTAATTTTTTTTTTAATAATATTTATTTAGTAGAAAAATTCTTTTTGAAAAAAAATGTTTTTTTTTTGTGAAATTCTTTGATTAAAAGAAGATGAAAATTATTTGATTTATAGAAATGATGTAGAAACTTTGTGAACTTACTTATTGTCATATTTATTAAGTAAAAGTAATAAAACTTTATTTTGTTTCGAAGAATCTTTGGCATATTCAGCAAAATAAAATTTTTAAAAAGTAATTTTGCTTATAACCCTAATCATTTTCCATTAATGCTCGGTTTTTTTTTCAAACGTTTCGGTTTTGTAGCTAATATGTAAGAAACAAAATAATGATCCAAGTTTCATTAACAAATTTTTGAATGTTTTAACTGCAATTTGATCATTTGACAAATATACATAAAACGGTACAACAATAAACTCTTTTGAGAATAAGATGCTACGCTTTAGAATCTCAGGACTATTATATATTAAGGATAACATTTTATTTTGCAAATATGACATACCGGATCACATATAATACAAAAAATATCAACATAAAGGCTTATAAATAAACAATAAATTCTATAGTGCAGAACTTCTTCAGAATTCCTTTAAATTTCATTAAACAAATTTTAGAATTTCTTTTGAATAAAAGTACAAATTTTTGGATTCTTAAAAATTTTCTGTCCTAAAAAAATCTTAAAAATTTTTGAATTCTTAAACTTTTACTAAAACAGATAAGATTTTATAAATTCCATTCTTTAGGTATGTAAATATGACATTAAAAAAGCTCGTTTATAAATGTGTGAAAGAATTCAAAACTAATAAATATAAGAATATTAATATATTTTTGTTAAAAAAAAAAGTTTGTGTTTTATTTTTAGAATTTTATAACTCTAAATTTTAGAAACCCTTCGAAGTAATCACTAAAAAATTGTGGTTATACCATAAATTATTTAATAATTTCTCTCATTAGAATGGTTAAAGGTATAAGTCAGCTTCACTTTGCTTGTAGATATCTGCATTTTCATTTCAAAGTTTAATAAGTTAACTAAAGAAATATAGAGTCTACTATTTTGAAGTGGTTTCACTGAAAAATTTATGGTACCGGTCTAATTAAATTTTTTGAGAGTGTTGCTAAAAAATTTGTAATGATAAATGGTTTATAACAAATTGAGGAACAATAAAGGGTCAAAAGTATTAATAATAAGTTTTACCCAAATAAAGTACAAGAAACGTCAAATTAAAGCTTTAAAACAGCAACAGCATTCATTTACAATAGTGCAATAATTTAATATTGAATAACTTTTATTACTTAGGTGAACTGTCACGACCTTTTTTGGGCTATGGGCAAATAAATATGTACTATGTGAGTATGAGTATGGGTCATTCGAATTTATTATATTGACTACTCACAAGAAGAAATTACATTTTTGACTGACTCTACTGATTGTTTTGTTTCGACAAAATTAAATTAGTATGGAATTTTTTATGGGGCATGGATTATGAAAATATATCTGGGTATATTTTTTATGATTGAGTTCTTAAAATCTTATAGAGTTCTTAAAATTTTAATTTTACTCATTAATTTTCATATATCATTTTATGAATTTTTCGCACTGTACTAGATGTTAAATTGACGTTTTAAAATATAATTACCAATTCTATAACCAATAAATCACAATATTACCATTATATTTTGTGAATTAAATTCAAAAACCATTATCAGATAACAAGGTTATTAAGATCCGGTGATCCCTAATTGCTTAATAAGATCAGATGAAAAGCTGTAGCCTTTCTGTTATGTTATATGTATATACATTTGGAAAACATCCTTAAAAAGATGAACACTATTTACTAACCCCAAAATTAATATCACATAAAAAGTTTTCCAAAAAACGGGTTTGCAACTAATTTTTAGTTCATAATATTATATTTTTATGGCATTAGAGTATAAGCCTAGCTATAATTCAAACAAACAATGAACATTGCTTAATTTAGTTTATTTCTTAAAAAATCAAAAGATGTTGATTTCAAATTGTCAAAGCACTATCTAATAGATCTTGAAGACAACGAAAATGAAGATTTATTACACAAATATAAAAAAAATTAAACATATTTTTACGTAAATTATTTAAAGAAAATGAAAATCGGGGCCAATTTTTTTCAAAGAAAAGTAAGAACTCTACATTTTTACCGTAACTCTAATTAAATGAAATAAAAATATTTATAATATTGTTATAATAAAGAAAATCTAAATTAAATTGTTATTACATAATAAATTTTGTTTTCTAAGAGTTTTAAAATTAAATTTAAAATATTAACCACATTCTTGTTTTTTTATAATTTATGTAACTTATTTCTTTTTTGTTACAAGTTTTATTTTGAATTATAAAATATGTACGGGCCACAATACGACTTCAGCATAAATGACATTAATACTTACAAAGATTAACAACCTCATAAATTACAATTTGTCATAATTTCAAAGTATCCCATAGGCTTTTGAATTAAAACCCATCAGGATAATTTCAACAATATGATGAATTAATTTTGTATAGGTACATCATTGTATAGATCCAACATAACAAACTGCTGTTGTTACTTTTGATGATTTTATTGCGAAAATGGTTGTGTTGCACATATTTTATTTTATATTGTTAAGATTTATTTATTTTCGTTTCTATTTTTGTGTTTTACTCTTTTTCTTATATTTTTATTTATTTTTATTTTTTTAAGGTATAATATGTTATTTTATTTTAGTTATTTGCAATATTATTTGCGATGAAAATAGAAACATTACATATTCGATCTTATGTAATCCATTCACCTTATATGCAATCTATCAAACAGATTGAGCTCAATACGATTACATGAAATAGATTAGTTGTCAATCAAACTGTCATAATATTATCAATATCAAAGAATGAAATGTAGAGAGAGAGAGAGGTAAATAAAAGTAGAGAGAAAAAAAAATCAGATAAAGATTGAAAGATTGGAATAACAACAAGATCAAAAATTGTAGCATTAATGGAAAATTATAGTTTTAAGAAAAAAGCGGAAAAAAAAATCAAAAAAACTAAAACTGTTTTATAATATTTTGAGTAAATGTGAATGGAATTTTAAGAACTTTGAATTAATAATCGAAAAAACTTATACATATAACAAATTGAATTCATGTACACTTGTGGCTATCTAATTTATTGATTCAATAAAAGCAGAAAAAAAACTAATGTTACATCATTACAAAATAAGTGTAATAAATTAATACTTCTTTCTTAATCTCAAAAAATGCTAGATTGTGTTGTTGTTCTTTTTAAACATAAAATGCAAGTATTTTGCAATTATTTACACTTACATTAATGTTAATAGATGATTTTTCTGCTAAAGCGGAAATTTTATTCAATAATTGACATTCATATTAGCGATCACCTATAATTGATGTACTGCGTGTGTTCAATAGGTAAATTCAATGAAACATTTAGAGCAGATGCACATAAACTGAAATGAATAAATTTCTATTAAAAGTTTAATTCTTACTCACGAAATAACAAAAATATCTTATTCAAAAACTTCATCTCTCCTTAAAAAAAAACGAAATAGCGACCTAGAACCAAATAAAGAATGAATACCTGGTGTTATAAAAATATATATAAAAAGATATATATAATAAAAAGATACATATATAAAAAGGGCATTACAACATGGATTGGTTATGAACTATCAATATTATTAATTTGAAATAAAAAGTCAAAAAATCTATTTATCTTGAAAAATTATAATTTAAAGTACGAGTAAACATCTAATGTATTTTAGCTTTGTCAGTTTAAGTACAAATATTTTTTATAATTGCATGTTTTAAAATCTTTCTGACATATGTTTATGCCTGTACAACAAAACCGTCCTTATTCTTATAACTATTATTACCAGATTCCCCACCGATTAGTGAATCTTTATAAAAGAAATTAGTCAACGTTAGAATATTACAATATATAAACAAATTGAAAGGGAATACTAATATCATTTGAAATAAAAGAAAAATTACAGTAACGTCCCTCGTAATACGTCAAGTATTTAGAACTTTGAAATTAATTATTTAGGGTTTAAGTTTTTAAGTACTCGTATATAGTTGTAATAGTGTATAAACGTAAACGTTTTCAAAAAGGATTATTACCCTTTCGTAATTACCGCTAAA